CACTGCTGTAGGGTTTAGACTTCAGATGCTTGCTTGTGATTGCTGTTCTTAGTTCCAGCCTTAGCTCTGCGGGTGTTCCCCTTGCCTGTGGCTGAGGGCTTTGGGAAGCTGGTTCCTCACTAACCTCAGAGGCTAAAGGCAGAAGTGACAGACTGGTGATCATGTCTGGGAACACTCTGGTCAGGACCCATGTCCTTAGGGATTGTAAGTGCAGGAGTCACTGTCTTTCCCCCAGCTGTAGCTCTTCAAGTCCCAATGTGCCTCTTTCTTTTTCTTCAGTCAATAAAATATTCTGAAATGTGTTGCTCACAGGTTTTTTCCCTTTGGATACTCGCTTTCTTTAGCTATAATTCACATATCATGCTGTTGATCTATCAAAGACAATTAAATGATTTCAGCTCTCAGTTGTGTAGCCATCTGCACCACTGATTTTAGAACATTTTGTTACCTGGAGGAAAGATAGCGTACCTAGTAAGAGTAACTTTTCATCTCACCTCACACTCCAGCTTAGCTGGTGTACGACATATGTCAGCACCTTGTTGACACGCATCAACCCACCCACCAGCTGGTGGGACGTCTGGTCCATTTCTGCTTTTCAGTTATTGGGAGTAACACGGCCACAAACACTGTGTGACTTACTTGTCTCATTGCTGAGATGATATATCTACCTGACCAGAGCAATGAGGGAAGAAAGGAGGGAGTTATTTTATACTGTAAAAACTATTTAATCTCATTCTGGGGTTTCTAGTCCACCTTTGACAATTCAGTTCCCAGATAAAAGACACACAACCTTTATATTTATATTAAGCCTAATTTTTTTTTTAATATATTAAGCCTAGAGCTGGGCAGATATTTACCCTCTAAGCTATTAGAATCTACTTCCCCATCAATAACCCTGACTCGTAATTGACCATGTTATCTGGGCTGCTCTTAAATCCAGTTGGCCAGCCCTCATGGCCATGTTTTCATGAATCACCCACCCCATGGTGTCTTCTCCTTCCTTTTCTCTTTCCTCCTCATCGTTGTGGTCTCTGCTCCAGCCCCAAGCCCATGAATGAAAATTCTACCTATCTCTCTTCTGTCCAGCTATTGGCTGTCAGCATCTTTACTCAAGCAGTGGTTTTTATAAAGGAACAAGGTACGGGCATATTCTCTCCTCCCTGGGGGCAACTACCCCTTGTGGGCCAGTATTTAGCATTATGATACATAGCAAAAGACCAACCCTAAACAATTTTGGGATGCAGTCCAAAGAAGCAAGAGACACAGAAGTAAGAACACAGAACAACTAGACACACGATGTCTGCACTCAGGAGGCGGAACCATAAATGTGTGTGCTTGGCTCAAGGTCTCCTTTTTAATCAGTTGAAGACCCTGGTCCATGAGTGGTTCAGCCTACACTGCGGTGGGGTTTCCTTCTTTCTCTGAGATCATCTAGATGACATCTGCAAGGGCTAGCCCAGAGACGTGTTCCCACAGGGTTTCTAAATCCCATTCAATTGGCCGTCAAGAGTAACCTTTCCAAACACTTGTGTGCATATGTTTGTGTGGCTCATTTGTCCTCGGTGTGTAGGTGGAAGTGGCTGTGCTGGGTTGTGGAGACTCTGTGTCCACCTTTTTGAGAGCCTGACTGAGGGAAAGAGCGTGAGCACCCCCAGGCACAGCAGTGTTGTAGAGCGTGAGCACCCCCAGGCAGTGTTGTAGAGCGTGAGCACCCCCAGGCAGTGTTGTAGAGCATGAGCACCCCCAGGCAGCATTGTAGAGTGTGAGCACCCCCAGGCACAGCAGCGTTGTAGAGCGTGAGCACCCCCAGGCACAGCAGCATTGTAGAGCGTGAGCACCCCCAGGCAGTGTTGTAGAAGCTTCCCCAGTCTCTACATTTCCAACAATTTTTCCTTTTTAAAATCACACTCATCTTGGTAACTTCTTGTGGTTTCTGATATTCTTGGCCATTTGCATATCTTCTTTGTGTGTATGCCTATTTAGATCCTTTGCTCAGACTTTAATTGGGTCATTTATTTATTTTTCATTCATTTGCTAAGGTTCTTTTTATCAGGGATATAATTTTCAAGTCTTCTCTTATCCTGTGGATTATCTTTTCTTCATGGTCTCTACATTTGATGATGTCCAACTAGGGATTTTGTTGGTTTTGTTTGTGCTTTTGGGTCATTTCTAAGGAACTATTGCCTAACTTAATATAAATATTTGCCATTTATGTTTTAAAGAACTATTTAACAGTTTTAGCTTCTACACTTAGATCTTTGGTTCCTCGTGATTTAACTTTTGTGTAGGTTGTGAGATAGAAGATTCACTCTATTCTTCTGCACATACGTCTCTAACACATTTGTTGAGAAATTATTTTTCCTTTTTGGAATATTTTGGTATCCTTGTCTAAAATCAACTGTCCATGAATGCAAGGCTTACTCACTATATTGTTAGTAGATTTAATGATAGTGGTGTAAATGGTCCCATATCACATTACACAACACATGAGATCTTTAGTTATTCATCAGACTAAAGAAACGGCAGTCAGACACCATCCTATTCTGGCTCATTTTGAAAATTAGAAGACAAACTCTCAGTAAGTGGTTGAGTAGTAATAATTTAATTTATACCTTAATTCAGACAAAATTACTATTGGGCATGAGTTCTGGATCTGAGCCTAGACAGAGCTTGGTGAGCGGGGGTGTTCCCTCTGATGTGACATCGGAGATTCTTCTCCAACACATTACCAATGTCTTACACTTTGATTTTCTGTCATTGAGGGAAAATCCTTGCAGCCATTTCTTCGTGACTTTGGGTAGACTTTCCGGTCACCTTCAGCCAGGTGCTGGGGTTAAGGAGCAAGCTTGTCCCGCTTGTGGTTGCCAGCTGCCATTTTAAGGTTCTGTATTCTACCCTCCTACACAGCTTCATTTCTAAAATAGCCAGAAGCTTTGGCAAGAAGCCACTGGTCGCAGTTTATCAAGCAGCAGCAGTCTGTTTCCCAGCTTTTGGCAAAGTCAGTAATTTGGTTTGTCTCTGGGATGGAAATTTTATGGAGGATGCTCAAACAGAGGTACCCTAGGGGCACACGAAGTTTAAGGAGCTGGCAAATTTATCTTAGTTTATTATGTTTCTCCAGAATTCACTGTGAGACAGATAAAGATGAGCATTTTGCCTTAAGCCCTCAGAATAAGCAAGAACAGTAATCTGTTAGATGCAGATTGTATGTGGCTACGTCTACGATCGTAATATAATGAGCCTTTGCAGTCTCTGAAGTCCCCTGCCTCAGAACCTAGGGAGACCGTCAGAAATCCATGTTCCCGGGTCTCTACTGTATCAGAAATCTGGGCAAATGGATGTCAGGTTTTGCATTTTAAGACCCCTTTCGTGGGTCTCCCATACACCGAGATTGAGAGCCGCCTCCTGGGGAGTTTTACTAAGAGGAAGCACTTGCATCCCAAGCACCAGAAAAGCACAGATCTAGAATTAGATTTCAATTTCTACTCCTTTAAAATAAGTGCAAGTCTCCCACCCTGAGGCTGGGGTAGGGAGAGAGCAGTAAGCAACGGATAAACAGATGGGACCCAGCATCGAGCACAATACAGGAACCACTTCATTTATTGAACATGAATAATGATTCCTCGTTCACAGGGCTACTGTGAGGATTAGAGGGACAACACACGAAGGCTCTAACGCCGTCTGACACAGACAGTGTGAGCATTATTTATGGCCCAGCACCAGCTGTCTCTTCCTCCTGTTCCTTTCGTTAGCCATGTCTGTTACATTCTTAACTCACGACTCACGCAATCAGCTAAGTGCTTACTGACTAGCCTGGCCTATATGCTGAGTTCTGATAGCAAGCTAAAAAAAAAAAAATGAGAACAGCCAGGGACCATTGCCAGATGTAATCTTTCCGGTCAAGAGGATACCCCAAACGGTCAGCCACAAACCCAGTGTTTCAGTTGTGTGAATTTAACTTACATTTCTTAGTTCTAAAACATACCAAAGTATGAAAATACAGAAAGGGGCAAAGTAAAATGCATTTCCCTCCATTATCCAGAAGTATAGCCTGTGCAAAAAAAAAAAAAAGAAAGGCTGGTCACTTTCAGCAAAGCAGGTGCAGTCATATAGAGGCCAGAACCTGCTAGGCTCAGTAGGGCCATGGCTTGGATTCAAAGCTCAGTGGGCACCATCTTGACATTCCTAGTCATTTTATCTTTGAATTTGAGTTATACAAGTGAAATTCAAGGGCCCTGAGTACAGCTTCCTGCTGTGAGCCAAGCCCTGGGTGGTTGGCTAGCTTAGGCCAGTAAGGGAGACAGCTGCCCTCTCTGGCTGGTTCCTCATCCCCACATCTCATGTGGCATCTGGCCGGCTTCTCCCAGCTCTCTTGGCAGTTTCTCTCCTTGCTCCCTGGGCCTTTTTCTCTTTACAAATCAGGTACTTGTTGTGTGTCATGAATTCCCAGCTTGTCCTCCTCTTGCTCTTTAGTGAGGTAATTTATTTAAAGTTCTGTGTTTCTTGGCATTTGTTATGGGAGACAGTTGCTCAGTCTAATATATGGTGACAGGAGAAAGAAATCTTTGTGTAACCTTCAAGTGAATAATCTTACTTTTAGGAATTTATCCTAAGAGAACAATTAGGAATAGAATTATTAATCAAAAGGAACATTATTCCAGTAACATTTAGCATTAGAAAGTAGAAACAAATATCCAGTTAAAGGGGACTTGTTAAATGATGACCCATTCATACAACCAGCAGATGTGTAAAAAAATAATATGGCCAAGTGTAGAAAAGTTGCCATCAATGTGTTAAGTGAAAATTTCAAGCTACAAAGCTATTTTAAAATCTCATTTTTAACACAGTAACACATGCATCCTTACAGGAAAAGATAGCTTTACCAGGTGGAACTTCAGGTTACCTTTTGCTTTTAGCTGCCCTTTCTTTGACATCCTGGGATTGCTTGTTACAGTTGCCATTTGCAAGCCTCTGGTGCGATTCTCTCTTTGCCTCCCCAGGTGTACTGGAAGATGGACTGTCCTCTAACGGTGTGCTCCGACCTGCAGCCCCAGGGGGAATAGCCAACCCAGAGAAGAAGATGAACTGTGGGACACAGTGTCCCAACTCACAGAGCCTCAGCTCAGGCACTCTGACCCAGAAACAGAATGGCCTCTGGACCACAGAGGTAGGGTCAAAGCTACATCACCTGGGGATGGAGAACAGGGGTGGAGCTTACAAATCGAGACCACCAACACTGGGTCCAGGGAAAGAGGACCTTGGGAGTAGAGGTTTTCCACCTCTCCATGTAAAAAATTACTGCAAACCTCATTTTAATCCTTTCCCTGTGAGCTGTTGAGTTTTATTTAACTCATAGAAATGAATCCTTGAGAGTTACCCTCTGGAAGAAGTGTGTTTGTTGAGAGGTACAACTTTGTCCAAAGATCTTCTTGTCTTAGGCAGTGAAGCCAATGGTAGGAAACAAACGTGGCGTTGTACCTCACACCCGTCAACCAGCTGGTCAGTGCCAGGGTCTCCAAGGATGATTCTTGTAAAATATCACATACCAGAATCACCGAACTCTTGCTGTTGGAAAGAAGGCTGGCTACAGTCCCTGGAAATGGCTGGCATCCTTTGATTTCTTACTTCCCAGAACTATTGTTTGGAGGTGTTCCTCCTGCTGTGCCTGGCTCCTCCATGTGGTGAGGATGGGGAGTGGGGCGGGGGGCTACAGCCCAGAACAAAAGCTCTGAGCAGGTAGAGACTCTGTGCAATCTCTTCCTCTTCCTCCTCCTCTCCTTCTTCCTCTTCCTCCATTCATCCTCCCATTTCCTTATCTTCCCATTTCCTTGAAACTTCCAAATCTACTGGCCTCACCTCCCAGTTCTGGCCGCCTTCTTCCTGAGGGCACAGCTTCCTACCTAGTGATAAGAGTCTTTCTTTCTTTCTTTCTTTCTTTCTTTCTTTCTTTCTTTCTTTCTTTCTTTCTTTCCTCCAAAGATTTACATGGTAATTTATTTCCAAAAGCATTTTTTTCTGAGTTGATATATCACAAAAGCATTGTTTTGTGTCCATAAAGATAAGGATCAAGTTTTTCTGGTATAGCAAAGACATCATAAACAATGTACATCTATCTTAAATATCACACAATCCATGGGAAGAATGAAAATGAGCTAAACCCTGATGTGACAAATTTGATTCCACTTCACTGTGTAACAAAGCTTATCATTTGCAAGAATTTTGTGGTGGAGTTCCTGTTCACGTCATTAAGTTGCTTTCAGTGGCTTTGATCAGCAAACCGGTTGCAAATTTTATCTCCAAAATTCACTACCTGAGGAGACTTGTAGAGTCAATCTTTCAGAACCCCAAGTTTCTTAAACATATAGTGGAAATAAAATAATATCCAAAGGAGCAGACAGATGGGCCTCCTCTTATAGATGAAGATACAGATAACAATGGGAAGGAGGAGCAAACAGGATAGCTGAGCCACAACACACGGCCTTATTAAACGGAATGCTAACGGAGCCCTAACACTAGCTGGGGTCGAGATGGAAGGGTCTTGTATTGTCTACTTTGTGGATCAGCTGACTTTCAGGAGACCCAGTCATCATTGACAGAATGCGAGGCAGTCTGGGCTCCACAGAGCCATGTTCAAAGGTTGAGTGTTCTAGTGGAGGTCCAGATGCCTGTCCCCAGTCCTTCTCTCCATACTTGAGACACAGAGTGTGTTATGACGGAGAGATGGCAGAGTTACCTGGGAAACGGCTTGATCTCCATACTTGTTTTCCTTATGCCACATTCTGCCCTCCTCACCCATCACTTCAAAGTAGTGTCTTACACTTAGCAGGGTGCTAGCTATTAGGCCCTCTAGGCTTTGAAATTCTCTCAACAGCATCATGACCATTTTATAGGCAAGGGAACTAAGGTGTATGTTGTATGGCACAGATAGTACCATATACGTGATGGAGATGAATCCAGTGGATCAGAGTATCATAACTCAGGGCATGGGGCTGCAGCTCAGTTGGTAGAGTGTTTTCCTAGCAGTGCAAACCCTTGGACTCAATTCCCACTGAGCAATCGGAGTACTGAGAAGATGGAAGTAGGAGGGTCAAAGTTCAAAGCTATCCTCAGCTGCATTTTTACAATGATGAGAAATCAACACGTACACTTTGAATATCACAATTCTAATGTCAAGTTGGAACCTCTTCCTGGGTGTGCAACCTTCTTTCACATTGCCGGGCAACGACAGTGGATAGAGCATTGACTTCCGGTCAGCCTGGCGATCACCAAGGCACCAGCTGATCGCCCACAGTGAACCGTGGCAGTGCTACATACATTTTCAGCTTGCATTGGGTTTCTTGGGATATGAGCCACGATGCTAACATTTTACAGCATTTCCCCTGTGCACCAGCTTCTGGATGATGTGTCTTCTCCCGGAGGCACTTTTGGAAAAACATACAGCCTCATCCACATACCTCTTGCAGTTTTCAGATTCAGATTTACCAGAAAACTTTGTGGGTTAAAGGCAATCCTTTCTGGGCCTTGAGATTCTCCTCGTTAATTCTTATGAGCACTCTTAAAATCCTCTGAGTGGTGCTCAGATGCCAGGCACACCTTGAGTGCCAAAGACCGGGGTGTGGGAAAGGCAGAGGTACTGTTTCCTCTGAGAGCCAGTGGCCATCCCGGGTGAGAGGGAGATTCAGATGATATGATAAAAACATTGTTGCAGCTAGAGTCAGATGATTTGATAAATAACATTGTTGCAGACTTACTGACGCTCTGAGGTACCCGGGAAATCATTAGTGGGCATAACTGTTAGCACAGATGCGCCCTCCAAAGCTCAAATTCCTTTCTGAAGGATGATGAGGACTCTAATGATGGCGAGCAACAGTATTTAGTGTTTTGAGTTCTCTGTGCGTTATAGCCCACCAAACAAACGTATCTCTGTTTCTTCAGTTCCTTCTGGCCTCTGCTTTCTGGCTAGCATCAATAGGTGCTAATGGGCAAAATGATTGCACTAACAATGATCTTGCAGAAACTGGAACTGTCTGTCTCAGTAGGGAGCTCTTTATGTACCCTGCCTTCCTTGATTGTTTGGGACCATACTGACCTCACATCACTTAATAAATCATTGGCTGATTCTCCTTCGCCCAGATCCCCACCTGTGCTCCACAAACAACCCAAGGGGAGCCTCTGCTGCTTTCTGTTAATTAGGGCAGTCTAGGAACTGTAAGCTGGCTTCAAACCTTTGATAAGCTATTTCTTCAGGCTTAGATCTCACCTCCTCCAATAAAAGTCAAAATAGACAGAAGTCTCTTAAGGCCAGCTCAGCAGGTAAGGGTGCTTACTGCCAAGCATGAGTTTGATATCAGGAACCTATGTAGTAGAAAGAAAAAGCCAGTTCCTGAAAGTTCTCCTCTGATCCACACAGGTATTTTATGGCACACACACAAAGTAAAATAAAAGTCTCAGCTGGGGCTGGAGAGATGGCTCAGCGGTTAAGAGCACTTGTTGAGCTTGCAGAAGACCACGTTCAGTTACCAGGATCCACCAGGTTCACACTGTGGGATCCACAGAGATCCCTGTGCTCACAGATGAACACTAGGGGAGGCAGGAACATTAAATACACAGGGTTGTTTCTTCAAAGGAGAGATGTCCAACCTGTTTTCTGTCCACACGGTTGGGAATGGATGTGGTTAATAGCCTTTGTGGTATCCATGTGGCTGAGATCACACTGGACCCTACCCCAGTCCCTTAACTTGAGCTTGTTTTCTCAGTGACTCTATAGAGCCCATCTTTACGGAGGGTGCCACATGTACTTTACAAAGAGTTTTGGTGTAGTCATGATCTAAGGTTTGTTGTGCACACGGGATTGAATTAATTATCACCAGGAAACTTTTTGCCAAATTAGGATGTTCATATTTAATATGCCTACAATAAGCTACTTGGGGGTCAGACTCCCAAAGTGTGAACCAACACCGGCTACTGAGTTGTACTGAACTGAACTGCCTTCTTGCATGGGTGCTTGCAGAGTTCCCCTCCCCCCTAAACCATCTATTAACTCTAATTCCAGGGAATCCGACACTCTCTTTGGACCTCTGCAGGGGCATGCACATAATGCAGAAGCAGAACCCTCATACCTGTGAGATAAAAATAAACAAATCTAAGCAAAACAAAACAAAAACCCCTCAGGTGTCAGTCAGCGGTAGAAACATCCATGTGAACGCAGCTCTTGGCAGACAAAGCACTGAGCGTGTAGCTGGCTGCCCGCGGGGCTTTCATGTCTCCAAAGCTGCACATTCTCGAGTTGCTTTATTGTTCTTGGCAAACTGACCAGACACTAAAGGAATTACCCATTGTCTGGGTTAACTCTCAGCTAAGGGACTTCCTCTAAAAGTTTCAGTCCCAGTGTCTAGCCAACAATGGTTGGCAATGTGTAGCCCCGTGTAGGAAGGAGGGTGAAACCCCATGGACTTCAAAGGATAGGGGCGGAGTGGAATTTCTCTCTGACAGTGGTAATGTGAGAGATATCAAGGAAGAGCCAGGGAAGCAAAGGCGCCTCTTAGGAAAACAGAAGATGCTAAATGGAGGGAGAGGACAGAAGGAACCACTGGGGGGAAGCAGAGGGAAGGCTGTTGGTAGGGCTCTTGGGAGCCCTTAGCAGCCCACGCCTGGGGAAAAGGAAGGGATCTGTTAGAGGTGGAACAGATTTCTGTAGAGACTTGGCCTGCAGCAAATCCAGTTCAGTTAAAAAAAAATGCTCCGGCCACCAGTCCTCCTTATTCGTTATAGTCTTTCCTCAACATCCCATCCTACTATGTGCTAATAACTGCGTGCTGGTTGGATGAAACAAGCCTAGCAGCTCACTAAGATTAAAAGGGGGCTTTCCCCCCCACCCTCGCCCCCCCCCTCGTTCCCGCCCCCGCCCTTGGCATGAGTCGTGTTCCAGCAAAGTCATAGTATCAGCGCAGCTCTGCTACCTTCCCTGTGAGCATCTCTCCCTGAGGCTCACGGGAAAATGTAACATGTCCTTGTGACACTTGTTGAAATCCAGTAGCTTAAGTCAGAGCGTTTCTGATCCTGTTGTGGAAAGCTAACAGCTGGCCTGTGGGATTGCTGAGATTGACTGTTCCCTGGTTAACCCCAGGTTAATGCTCTAAAATTCATGGAATCTGGGAACTAAAGGTT